ACGTGATGATCTAAAAATGATATAGCACCACTCATGCAATATTCTTGCCAAAAATACATAAATGATTCTAATCACGAGGAAACAATTTGGTAAGTCCAAATTTAGAAACATTCTACTGAACAACTGACCTTTACTCCTGAAAAATGTTAATATCATGAAATAAGGAAGGCTAAGAGATGACAATTAATGCGTGGTCCTGAATTGGATTCTAGATCAGAAAAAAAAGCTACGATAAAGGTCATTACTGGGACAACTGATATAATTTGAATTTGGGTTGTGTATTATAATTAGCATTGTATCAATGTTAAATTTCTAGAATGTGGTTATGTAAGAGAATATTCTCGTTCTTAGAAGATACAGACCGAAGTACAGTATTTGGGGGTAAAGGGTCATCTCTATAACTTTTTCTCTTTTTTTGTTTTTTGAGACAGAGTTTTGCTCTGTCACCCAGACTGGAGTGCAACGGCGCGATCTCAACTCACTGCAACCTCCACCTCCCGGGTTCAAGCGATTATCCTGCCTCACCCTCCTAAATAGCTGGGATTACAGGCACCCACTACCACACCTGGCTAATTTTTTGTATTTTTAGCAGAGATGGGTTTTCACCATGTTGGCCAGGCTGATGTCGAACTCCTAACTTAAAGTGGTCTGCCTGTCTCAGCCTCCCAAAGTGATGGGATTACAGGTGTGAGCCAGCGCACATCTGGCCGATAACTTTTTTTTTTTTTTTTTAAGAGATGAGGTCTTACTCTGTCACCCAGGCTGGGGTGCAGTGGTGCTTTCATAGCTACTGCAACCTCAAATTCCTGGGCTCAAGCAATTATCCTGCTTCAGCCTCTCGAGTAGCTGGGACTACAGGTGTGTACTACTGTGCCCAGCTAACTAAAAAACAATTTTTTAAGAGATGGGGTCTTGCTATGCTGCGCAGGTTATATGTCTATAACTTCTCTGTTTCCAAACATACACACACACACACACCCCCGCCGAGAGGCAAAATGTTAAAACCAGTAAACCAGGTGAAGCTTACTCAGGAATTAGTTCAATTTTATTTGAAATCTTCTGTAGGCTTGAAATTGTTTCAAGATAAAAAGGTTTTAAAATGCTGTTTGCTATAGGTTAGTGAAATTCTCTCTTATCCCTCATTTGCTAATTTTCTTTTTGTTGCTGCTGAGTTTTTCTCATGCCTGGGTATTGGGCTTTATCAACACTTTTTCTCCATTTATAGACATGATCATATGGTTTTTCCTCTTTCACTTGCTAATATGACTATTTACCTTTATAGGTTTACTAATATTAAACCACCTTTAGTTTCTGGAATAAATCCAACTTGGTCCAAATGTATCTTTTGTTATTTACTGTAATTTGCTAGTAATTTGGCATCCATCTTCATGAGTGAGATTGATCAATATTTTTTTCTTTCTTATTCTGTCCTCCTTGCCTACTTTTGGTATCAAGGTTGCAGTGGCCTCACAGAATGAGGAAAGAAGTTGTTCATCTTTTTTATTCATGGAAATGTTTGTAAAAGATTAGAGTCGTTCCTTGAAAGTTTTGTAGGATTTGTCTGTAAAACCATCTAGGCCTGGAGTCTTTCTTATGTGTTTGTGTGTGTGTATATGTATATATATATGTGTGTGTGTGTGTGTGTATGTGTGTGTGTGTGTATATATATGTAAAACATAAGCAACATGCAAAAAGTGTAAAGAATGAAAATTATCAGCTTAACAAATTACTGGAAAGTAAATTACCCATAATTGCTACCCTCCCAGGCCAAGACATGAACCATTACCAGCACATAGGAGGTCTCCCATGAGATGCTTTCCAATCGTAACCCTCTCCATCCCCCAGGGGTAACTGCTATTCTGTTTTTCACGGTAGTCTCTTCTTTGTTTTTCTTTAAAATTTTACTATGTAATTATGCAACTGTTAAAATATGGTTTAGGGTAAGCTGTTTTTAATTTAAGGTTAATTAAATGATATATTTAAAATTTGTTTGGCTGATTTCACTCAACCTTATCTTTCTGACTCAACCATGTTGTTGTATATACTACACTTTACTCCTTTTCATGGTTTCGTATATTCACTAGTATGGATATGCCATAATTTATTTATGAAATTCTTGGACATACAGGTTTTCCCAGTTTTGCAATAATATGAACAATGCTACTCTGCACATTCTCATGCTTTTGTTCTGGTGCACAGAAGCTCCAGTGGTGCACACTGCGTGGTATAAACCTATGGGTGGTATTTCTGGGTCACAGATATATGCATTTTCTTCTTCTTTCCAAAACAGGTGTGCCAGTTTACACTCCCATCAGAAGTGTCTGATAGTTTACACAACTCTGTATACTTGCTGTCATTTACTAGTGTTAGACATTTTTGACAATCTGATGTGTAGTGGTATTGTACTAGTTTACTAATGAGGTTGAGTAGTTTTTCAAACGCTTATTAGCCATTTGGATTTTTTTTGCTATGAAGTGCTGGTTCAGTGTTTTGTGGATTTTTGGCTACATTTTATACATTCAAGAAATGAGTCTTTTGTCATGTTTATTATATACTTTTCCACTCTATAGCTTGCCTTTCCTTTTGCTATTTTCTTTAAGGGAAATTTTTATTGCTCAATTTTTGTTTGTTTGTTTGTTTTTGTTTTTGAGATGGAGTCTGGCTCTGTTGCCCAGGCTGGAGTGCAGTGCAGTGGCATGATCTCAGCTCTCTGCAACCTCTGCCTCCTGGATTCAAGCAGCTCTCTGGCCTCAGCCTCCTGAGTAGTTAGGATTACAGGTGCCCGCCACTGTGCATGGCCAATTTTTGTATTTTTAGTAGAGACGGGGTTTCACCATGTTGGCTAGGCTGGTCTCGAACTCCTGACCTCATGATCTGCCAGCCTCGGCCTCCCAATGTGCTGGGACTAAAGGCATGAGCCACCGCACCTGGCCTATTGCTCAATTTTTAAAGTACTTAAAGGATTATTCCTTTAAAGGACTTCAGGCTTTCTATTTCTACATGAATCAGTATTGACAAATTGTATTTTTTAAGGAGTTTGCCCATATTGTTAATGTTCTCAAATTTATTGGCATATAGTTGCTTGTATTCATGTCTTATTAGATTTCGAAGTTCTGCTGTGATATTGTTTTTCTCATTCTTGATGCTTTTTGTACCCGTTCTCTTTTATTGTTGGCCAGTCTCTGCAGGGGCTTGTCTATCAACAAACTTTTGGACCTTTTGATCTTCTGTAATGTATCCTTATATTCTCTTCCATGATTTCTGCTTTTTTTTTTTTTTTTTTGAGACGGAGTCTCGCTCTGCCGCCCGGGCTGGAGTGCAGTGGCCGGATCTCAGCTCACTGCAAGCTCCGCCTCCCGGGTTCACGCCATTCTCCTGCCTCAGCCTCCCGAGTAGCTGGGACTACAGGCGCCCGCCACCTCGCCCGGCTAGTTTTTTGTATTTTTAGTAGAGACGGGGTTTCACCGTGTTAGCCAGGATGGTCTCGATCTCCTGACCTCGTGATCCACCCGTCTCGGCCTCTCAAGATTTCTGCTTTTTATTATCTCCTTCCTCAAACTTTCTTTGGGTTTATTCTGCTGCTCTTTCACTTTTTTTTTTTTTTTTTGAGACAGGGTCTCACTCTGTTGCCCAGGCTGGAGTACAGTGTTGTAATCATGGCTCACAACCTCCCTGGGCTCAGGTGATCTCACCTCAGCCTCCTGAGTAGCTGGGACCACAGGCAAATGCCCCCATGCCCAGCTAATTTTTGTATTTTTTGTACAGATGGGGTTTCACCATGTTGCCCAGGCTGGTCTCAAACACTTGGGCTCAAGTAATCCCCTGGCCTTGCCCTTCCAAAGTGCTGGGATTACAGGTGTGAGCCACCGTACCCGGCTCTAACTTCTTAGATGGAATGTTTAGTCATTACTTTTTAGGCTTTCTTCTTTTCTAATATAAGCATTTGTGCTATAGATTTCCCTTGAAGCCCCGCTTTCCCTACATCTCGTAAGTGTTGTGATATATTTCATTTTATCAGTTCCAAGGATTTTTAAATTTTCATTTGGATTTTGTTTTTGGCCTATAAATTATTTAGAAATATGTTTTTAAGTTTCCAAATGAATGGGAATGTAAGATTTATCTTTTGTTATTGATTTCTAACTCAATTGCATTGTGTTCAGGAAACCTGGTCTATGAGATTCTAATCCTGTATAATCTTTTAACTTCTGAAGTCCTCTGAGGGTCTAAGTCTGCTATTTGTTGTTTCAACTGACTCTCTCTCATGGTGGTGTACATGTTTTGTGATCTTTGTGAATTCACATTTCCCTGTGTTTAATCTGTGGGGATCATGTCCATGTTGTGGATCCTTTCCTCTGGAGAGGTTTCATGTCGGTTTCTGCTGTGAGCCAGTGGCACTACTAAGCTGGGATCCCTCTAGCCCCTTCAGGTGTTCTGCCTTAAGGTAGAGACTTAGGGTTGGCATCCTGAATGGACTTGCTGTTAGATTGACCTATGTGAAACTGTTGCTTTTTTGGGGTCAAAACCAGTTGAATATCCACAATTTTATATCGTCCAACCTATACTAGCAACTCTTGCCCTCAGGACAAGCCTGTTCTTCCTGCTTGCTTACTGTTTGCCTCTTCTAGCTAGTTTTGACTCAATGTTTGTTTCCCTTTCTTTGGTGGGGAAGGTGGCTTTGGAGACTTTCTCAATTTCCTGTAATCCCAGTAAAGCATTAAAAAATTATATTTTATTCAGGAGGAAATTAATTTGCAGAATTATTTTGTAGAGAAGAGGAGAGGTGCTAGGAGTAGCTAGGCCAACTGCTAGAGGCTAAAATTCAGGACAGATGTATTTTTCCCAGTGAGGAAACCAAGGCTCAAAGAGATGAAATGACTTACTCAAGGTCACACAGCTAGTAATGGGCAGGGTTAGGACTTTCTAAAAAGCTAGGCTCTTTCCACTTTCCCTCTGTCCTGCCCTGCCTCCAGAGAGCTGTTTGGACCTGGGGGTGTCCTTACCTGGTGCAGGGGGATGACGAGGAAGGCCCCTCCACCAGCACACTCAGTCACAACTGCAATGAAGTGGGGGTTGACGGCACAGAAGTGGTTGTCGTGAACGCTGCGGGTGATAGGCACGGAGTCATAGCAGTTCTCCTTGCTGGCTGGTTTGCCAAAGACATGACGGAACTTGGAGCTCCGGTACTGGGGGTGCCATGACATCTGCAAGAGACAAATGGGACAAAGGGTATGAGGCTCCCTGCCCTGATCATGGGACACACGGAGCTCTCGTCTTAAGAGTACATAAGAGGATACAAGCAGGACAGTGGTCAGTTCAACGTGGACAGTGATGCACTGTGAAGGGTGACCAAGTGAAAATACTCTAATTACTGTTATTTCTATAGACCTGGTGAGATAAGACGGGATGATGTATAGCTATCACTGACCTGCTTGCTGATGTGTTAAGGCTTTTCATCCCTTTGAGTGTGAAATGTAAAAAGGCAGAAAAACCACAGAGAGAATCCACCACATTGACCCCCATCTGCCATCTCACCAGACAGCTCAGCACCCTCAGCCCAACTAAGTAGGTACCACTGCGCTCTCTGGAGCCAGCCTGCCTGGGTTTCAATCCCAGCTCTGTCTCTTATCAGCTGGATGGCAAGTGACTTCACCTCTGGAATCTCAGTTTCTCCATCTGTAAAATGAAGTCACAAAAGTATCTGTCTCAGCTAGGCATGGTGGCTCATGCCTGTAATCCCAGAATTTTGGGAGGCCAAAGCAGGAGGATTGTTTGAGCCCAGGAGTTCAAAACTAGCCTGGGCAACACAGCGAGACCCTGTCTCTAAAAAAAATAAAAGAGAGAGAGACTGAAAAAAGTATCTGTCTCATAGCCTTGTCATAAGGATTAAGTTAGATGATGTATTTAGACCCCTTGGCGCATGGCAGATACTTGATCAACAGTGGCAATCACAACCACTAGTATCATCTGGGCGTCTTCAGCTTGCTTTGCTCCTCATCCAGCCTTATATTTGTTCACTCAATATTTACCGAGCATCATGTGTGTCTAGGCCCTGTGCCAGGTAGCAGGTAGTTTGGAAACAGTAGGCCTGAGCCCAGCCTTTACAGGAGTGAAGAGTCCTCTGGGTGAGGCTACTAGGAGAGTCTGGGCCACTGGGACTCACCGTACTATGTGTAATAACAGAGATTTGCACATGACAGTCAGGGAGGGCTTCTCAGAGGAAGTGACAACTAAGCTGTGACTTGGAGGATGAGTAGGAGTTGGTCATGTAGGCAGGATGAGGGAGAGCTGGGGGAAGGTGTCTTAGGCAGACAGAACAGTTTGGGGAAACCACCTGTGGTTTAGTAAGATTATCAAAGAGAAATGTAAAAGAAGAAAACACACACACGCGCGCGCACACACACACACACCATGTATATTGGGTAATGTGAATGAAAAGAATAAAAGACAGGGCAAGGAGAGCCAGATCACGAGTGGCCTGTGAGAGGGTCTAGGCCTCTTCCGTGGCCAAGCCCATACCCATAACACCAGGGGGCCTCCTCTTGGCCAGAGGGACCCTTCTGAATACCAAGCCCTGCCCACCCCACCCCCGCCTCATATCACCCTTGATTTATTATTATTTTTGAGGAAGGATCTCGCTCTGTCACCCAGGCTAGAGAGCAGTGGTGTGATCACAGCTCACTGCAGCCTCAAACTCCTGACCTCAAGGATCCTCCTGCCTCAGCCTCCCAAGTAGCTAGGACTACAGGTACATGCCACCATACCTGGCTAATTAAAAAAATTTTTTTTTCTTGCCATGTTGCCCAGGCTGGTCTCAACCTCCTGATCTCAAGCAATTCTCCTGTAGCTGCCTCTCAAAGGTTGGGATTAAAGGCGTGAGCCACTGCCCCTGGCCTCACATCACCCTTTGATGCTCCCCATTCATTGCTGCCCTACAGGATCAAGGCCAAATCCTCTGGCCTGGCATTCAAGACCTCTGGCTGGGGTCTCATTCCATATTCCAAGATTCATTTCTTCTAGCTTTTCTAAATGGCACCTTCCAGCTTCCTCAGCACCTGCTCTTGCATCTCCAGCCCTCTGGCTCTTTGCCCTTCCCTCTCCTGCTGCTTGGCTTGCCTTTCCAATCCCCCTACCTCCTGTTCCCGTCTCCACAAATCCCAATCCACCCCTTCCCTAGCTCCCAAGCCACTTCCTCCAGAGAGTCCTCCTTGATACCCCAAGTAGCAGAGATCTTGCTCTCCTCTGTTCCCTGACAGCCATCTCTCCCCTTGCCCTTAGCCCTTGACACTGTCTAGCCCGATTTGGGGTTTAGGGCCAGTTCTCATTTTCTCTGCTGGCTTGGCGCTTCCTTGGAGAAGGCTCTGCTCCAGGAATATCCAGCACAGTGTCTACCTCCCTTGGGCCCCCACCTTCCCTACTTGTGGGAAGGCAGGTTTGGCTGGGCCCACACTGGTCAAGCCAAAGAAGGTGCTCACCCCGCCCACACAGCTGACCCATGAGGCTCTTCTCTGCCCTCAGGTCCTCAGCACGAGATTACATTGTGTGACCTCAGGCAGGTCACAGCGATCAGGGCCTGACCCCTGAGGCAAGCCCTTTAGACAGAACCAGGTAGCAGGTCAACCTTGCAGGGGCTTGTGTATCCTGCAAAGCTCAGAAATTCCAACTCTCCTTTTGGGAGCTTTGCCCTAAACCGGGGCTGCTCTTGCCAGAGCTACAGGAAGCTGCACAGAATGTAGGGATGGACTGACTAATTAATGCCCATGTGATTCCAGAAAGGATTTAAGAAGACTCACAGAAATAGAACACAAGATAGAAGGAACTGAAAAAGCTACAAGAGAAAAAATAGGGACACAAGGAAAACGCAGGTAAAAAGAGATCACCTGAAATGCAGGAGGAGTTAAGTTAGGTGTGCTGCCAGGTCCACCACACAGAGGAGGTAGACCTTAGATTTGGGTCTGAGCTTCCTAGTGGCCAATTCAACAAGGAAAACAGAATCAGAAAGGGATTTATTTGATGTCTGTAAGATAAAAGCCACAAGTTGCTAAGGAGCAGTACATCTTTTCTCTATAGTGAGTTTTGAGAGAAATGGGTACTGGGGGTCCCCTTGGAAAGGAACAACAAGGACAAATGACCTCCCTAGGGTCTTGGCAACTTGGTGGCAGTGGAGGAGCCGCCTTGGGCCTGGGCTGGGGGTGGGAAAGTGAGGAGCAAATCAGCAGGCTCCACTCCAGGCCCCCCATCCCTGCCTCACCTTGAGCAACGGCTAGGGGTGGCGGGAGTGCACCTGTCTGTGGCGGCTGGTGATGCTCACCAGACATCCCATTGCTCCCCTCATGTCCAGGCCCCTTGCAGTCAGGCAGCCATAGCACACATCACTGCCTCCCATGACCCATTAGACAATGGAACCATTAGACAATGGATCATGGGAGGCAGTGATGTGTGTCACTTCCAGGCCAAAGCACATGAAACCTGCCTGTGACCCTCGAGGACTCTCGTCCTTGGCCGAAGGGATGAGAAGGGTGCATGTTTCAGATGGTGCGGCCATAAGGTGGTTGGTCCCTCAGGAAGCGTGTGTAGCAGAGCACTTTCTTCTACTGACTTACAGTGCAACAGAGAAATACACTTGTAGAGTGAATCGTGAGATAAGGGGTTCTTTGTCACGGAGCACAGTGACCCATCCTGACTCATACAGCCTATGCCAGTCTGGCCCATGGAGATGGCAAGTGGCTGCCTGTGCTTGGAATGGCCACAGAGAAGGAGGCAGGACCCAGATTGTCTCAGGTACCCGAACTCTGAGGGCAGTGGGGAGCTACTGGAGAAATTAAAGCAGGGGAGAGGCTGGGCGTGTTGGCTCACACCTGTAATCCCAGCACTTCGGGAAGGCTGAGGCAGGTGGATCACTTGAGGTCAGGAGTTTGAGACCAGCCTGGCCAACATGGTGAAACCCCGTCTCTACTGAAAATACAAAAATTAGCCAGGTGTGGCAGTGCGTGCCTGTAGTCCCAGCTACTCTGGAGGCTGAGGCAGGAGAATCACTTGAACCTGGGAGGCAGAGGTTGCAGTGAGCACCACTGCACTCCATCCTAGGGAACAGAGTGACACTCTGTCTCAAAAATAATTAATAATAATTATAATAAATAAAGCAGGGGAGATAGAGGAACAGATTTAATTTTCATATTTTCCTCTGACTACTGAGCAGAGGAAAGGTTAGAGCAGGTGAGAGGCAATGGTCACCTGGGCTGAAGTAGGGCAGTGACGTGGGCAGGATGGTGGGGAGAGGATGTTACTGAAACACCAAGGAGGTGGGATCAACCAAATGTGGTGCCTGAGTGCACGTGGCGGGCCTGGGGTAGTCGCTGAAATCGACACGACCTTACATTAACAACAGCCCTGGCCCCTCTGGACCCTCTGAGCTCTCTCCCTCCACAGCCTGTCTGTGCACCTGCAGGGGGTAACTGGGGTCTGGCCCAACTCCTGAGAGCCACTCCCCATCCAGGAGGAGTGAGGAGGCCGTGAAAGGCCTGGGTAACACCTCCCAAGCTCACAGTCACCTCTGTGGCAATAAGAAGTCACGGTTTTTGAGTGCTTACAAACTGCCAGGTGCCATTCCAAATGCTTTCCATGCATGAATAGAGCAAGTGGGTGCTACCTTGCTCCCCGGTTCAGATGTAGGTGTTGAGGCCAGTAACCCGGTCACACAGCTAGTGAACAGCAGGCCTGGGGGCTGAACTCAGCTGTCTCAAGCCTGCAGCTTTTGAGCCTGCAGCTCCAGGTCCTCACAGACAATACCCATGATGATAATAGCTCTTTCAGACCCATCACAGCCCTGGATCTCACCTCTGCCCCTAAGAGGAACTGTCATGATCACGACCACCCCGACTCTACAGAGAAGGAAAAGGAGGCCCAGGAAGCTAGCTAGACCCCTCTGGAAAGGCGCCCCACTTCCCCGTGGATGAAGCCAGCTGACAGCAAAGGAGCGTGAACATCAATGCCCTTCTGCCCAACCCCCAATCCTCTCCCCACCCTAACTCTTAATTTGCACTGCTAAGATTCTTCCAGACCTGCTGCCAGGAAGGGAAATTACACAAGCAGGGGGTGGGGCAGCCGCTAGCAAGGCCAGCTACCTCTCCCTTTGTGTGTGGTATGGAAGTGTATGTGTATGTGCACGGGTGAAGCTTGTGCATGCGTGCTGGCCTGTGTGCGT